AGGAAGTTAGCTTATTGGTTTGAAATCCTTCCTCTTCAAATGTAAACATTTAATGTTACACATGTTCACGTTACTGCTGTCTTGGCTGTATCCCAATTCTGTATTTTCAATTAGTTTTAAGATTAAAATTCTTTTCCCCTTGATACTTCTCCTTAGACTCATGGGTTATTAGGAAGTGTGCTGTTTGCATTCTAAATCTTGGAAGAGATGCCTGTTTTCTATTTCTTATTGCTAGTTTGATTCCACGGTGATCAGGAAACATATGCTGTATGATTTCAACTCTATAAATGTTGGTGTTAGCTTTATCCCAGAGGATATAGTTTACTGGACTTAGGGTCTATGGGAAGTTGGAGAGAATATGCACTTGCTGCTGCTGTTCTGTAAATGACAAAGATGTCCTTCTAGTTGATGGTGTTGTTGAATTGCATTGCTTTGCTTTTGAAGTCTAGTTAATATCAGTTGTTGACAGCGGAATATCCAAGTCTTTATGCTTGTGCTTTTGTCTACTTCTCCCTTTAGCTTACCTTTTGCTTTTTGCTTTACATATTTTGCAACTTTGCTGGTTGTGCAAACCCATCCAAGGTTATGTCTTCTTGGTGGAATGACCCTTTTTGTCATTATATAATATTCCTTTCTGTCTCTGCTACTTTTCTTTGCTTTGAATTGTCACCCAGTTTTAATGTAGCTACTCCTGCTTTGTTTACATGCATGCTTTTCATTCTCTTACTTTCAGCATACTTACTCCACTGAATTTGAAGTTTTTCATGTATAGGTTATAATTTGATTGTTTAAAAATCTACTTAATCTTTTTGATTGCTATGTGTAGACAATTTATAAACTAATTGTTAGAGTTGAAGTATGCCATGTTATGATTTGCTGTTTTTTGATCCTTTACCTTACTATGGATTACTTTTTAACATTTTAAAAGGTTCATCTTGATTTACTAATGGTTATTTGCAGAGAAACATGCTCCAAATATAGTTTCTGCAGTTGCTCAGAGGCTGATGCTATATGGATGTAGCCTATCACATTGGGTTAGTGAGAACATTTTACACTTTGAGTGAAAGTGGAAACCTCATTTTCATTCAGATTCCTTTATTTTCCCCGAGTTGCACACATCAAGTGGCATAGTTTTTGTTTCAAGCAATAAAACTGATGAGGATCTTCTATCATGAGTGTTATTTCTTCTGTGACCTTTCTTCCTCCTGATGCTCTGATTTTTGTTCTTCTAGCATTTCCTTTCTGTTCAGATAACATCCTAGATTTTATAGGTCTATCCACTAGTGACAAACTCTTGAGTTTTCCTTGCCATGAGAATGTCCTCACTTTCCCTTCACTTGTGAAGGACATTTCACTGGCTATGGGATGGTGGGTTGAGTAGTTTTCTTTTAGCTCTTGTGTGACACTTTCTTGGGACCTCCATGGTTTGAGGCAATAGGTGCTGTCATTTGAGTTGGTATTCTACATCATTTCATCTGCTTTCAAGATATTTTCATCTTTTGCTTTCTTTGCACTTGCTTGTGACTCACTGAGTTTCTTGAACATGTATCTTTCGAGTCTGGCAAATTTTCAGGCACTTTTTCTCTGGATACCTTTTCATACCCTCTTTCCAGAACTATGACAATAGGTGACTTGTTATTTTCCAACAGATCCTTGAGATTTTGTTTGTTTTCCGGTCTATTTTCTTGGTTGAGATTATGTAAATTCTGCTGTTGTACTCGTTTCACTAATATTCTATCCTATTATTTCTCTTGAGTTCACAGCGTGAGATGTTCATCTGTCACTGAAATCTTCAGGTCTGTAGTTTTCATTGAGCTCTTTTGTGAGAAAAAAATTTTTGTTTTGGCTGAGATTTTCTATTTCAAGATAATTTATATTTTCTTGACATTTTTTTTTAAAATCTGTTTTAAAATCATCTTGATGTTGGTTCTCCTTGAAGTTGTGATTTTGTGTTGCATCCTGAAAATTGTCTGTTATGAGACTGGGGGTCATATCGAAATCTTTCATTTTAGTAGCTAACCACCTTGTTTAGTTATAGATACAATCCTGGCCTAAATGCAGGGGTTGTGGCTCAACGGGTTAATTTTTAGAGGCCTTGTGTTCTTTCTTTTATCTCAGCCGGAGAAGCCTTTGCCCTGTAGGCCTAGAAGTTCCCTGCCTGGGTGCTGTGATGGAACTTTTCTGGTCCATGTCATCTGGCTTTGAGTGGGGGAAGATGCATCTGAGGTCTACTGAGGGATGTTGTTTCCTAGGCTGGGCTGCATGTGGCATCCGACCCCCTTTCTGTTCCTTCCTGGTCACTCTGGACTCTGAGGGCAGAGAAGGGGTGCTTAGGTCTAGCAGGAAGCTCCCCTGGAGGCTTTTGTTAGGGCAGCATTCACCTTTACCCACTGCTGGTGGTGCTGCTTTATTGGTGAGTCAATGGTGCACATTTGATCAGTGGGAGGAACAAGTCTGGGCTGCCTTCTGTTGCTAGGCTGGGAAAGCTCAGGCCCAGGCATTGCCTTTTACTCATGGGCCATGAGATACCCTGCCATTGTTTCTCCAGTACTCAGGCTCTGAGCCACTTTACCTTCACTTTACCACCAAGGGCTCACATTTGTTTGTTTACTTTTGCATTATTCCAAGGATTTATTGTCTGAACCAAATTTTCAGCCCAATTCTTTTTACACTGGTCACAGCTTTCTGACTTTTTTTTTTTTTGATACTAAACACTATCTGATATTGGAAATATGCAGTCTAGACACAAGAGTTTAGATTGGCCCTCCACCTACACAACTTGTCTGCTGCTTTCTAGGATTACCACCATTATGTTTTAAGGTAAAAAGTGAAAAAAGATAGTGGGGGCTAGAGTGAGGTTCTGGTTGAACGTGTCCCTCACGTAGGGCTGCTGTGAGGATCAAGGGAAGAGATACCTCCATCACCGTGCATATGGACAGTGGTGTGTCCAGTGTGTTACTGTTCTCGTCTTCAACACAGCCCAGCTTTTCCCCTAGTGGCTCAGAGTCCCTGAGGACAGACACAACCTGTTATCCCTGGGACTTAGGACAGTAGCTGTCCCCAAATGGAGCTGTCTGAAAAGCACATACGTCATTTGTTAAACTTCCGTCGTCCCAGCCACGCTCTCCCCTGCTTTCCCTGTTGAACTCCTTGTGATTCAGTTTCTTGCTGGGATTCACTTGCACATTGCTCTTCCCCACCTCTGCTCGTTAGCTGTGTCTTCAAGTGGCAGCTGCTTGGCAGTGATGCACTTTGATGATTCTTTGCTCTTCCTCATCCCCACCTTGCACAAAGATCAGTATTTCTTTCCCTCCTGAAAATCTGATTCTAATCACCATAGAGTAGGGGGTCTGCCTCACAAGTACAGTTTTTTAGACAGTTGATTCAACTCCTCACGGCAGGTCAAGAGGCTTGCAAGAAGCTCTAAATTTAGCTGCAAGTGACGGTAACCTATGATCAATTAGGCAACAATAATTAGCATCTAGATCTTAATGTCTCCCAAACTGCATCTTCACTGCCAGGTAAAATCAAAACCCCAGGGGCCCTCCCTGGTGGCGCAGCATAAAGAAGCTAAAGCCGCTTCCGCATGAGTTCGATCCCTGCCTGCCCCGGAGGTGACCACAGGGTGTGGCAGACCTCTCCTGACCCGCCTGCTGCTCCCCTCAGCAGTGTACTTCGTCGATCTGCCTGTTCTGTACCCCACTCTGTTTCTGGTGAATCCTCTCACCCTCCACATCTCTGGCCTGTACCCCAGTTCTGTATGAATAGATAAATCTTAAAAAAAAAAATCAAAACCCCAGGAAACATAGTTTGCCTTAAGGGATTACCAGTTAGAGCAACACTGGGCCCCGATGCACACTGCCTGGTGCTGCACGCTGGGCGGCCTCACGGACAGGGGAAGGGGCAACACACTGACCCCAGCCTCCGAGGACGCTTCAGTGGACCTAAAATCATCCAGACTACGCCCCGGAGGGACTGCCAATTCTTCCACACAGCTGCCCTTGTGCAGCACAGAAGCTCAAGGAGCTTGCTGTACTGGACAGAGAATGATTGCCTTTCCTTTGCAGGGGCTCGCTGGGGTGGACAGCACTGGCCACGTTCCCATCCTTTCAGCTGAAAGCACAGCTCAGAGCCTCACAGCCAGAATGAATTTTAAAGAAAGTTAGCATTTCACCCAACTTTTTATTCAGTTATCTTCAGTGCACTGCAATAGGCAGTTTGTAAAGACTTCCTCTCAAGCCATTAAAACATGACCAGGTAGGAAAACATCAGGCAACGCTCCCATAATATGGACTAAGACACATAATGTTCTTGAAGTTTCTTTTCAACCTTGAATATGCCATTGTTCTATTTCAGACCTTAAGAATACATTGCTCTTTCATTAGACTGCTAGATCCTATCAGTTCAGTGTCTTGCATGAAAAGCAGAAAAATTTGTATTTCTTGAGTTCAATGCTTTTGATAGCTTGTCTCCTTTCGAAAAGCAAAATCTGTGCTTCTGTGAAGTTGAAGGAGAAAAAAAATCGCCCAAATCTCAACAGTGATGTTTCAGACAATGGAGTTGCTCTCTTCACTGCTCAGTATGCAAGCCATTTTCTGTTCTGGACTAAGGAAGTGTTTGTTTAATTTAAATCAGTGAGGTTTGAGAAGCAGCAGTGGTGAGAGGCCAGTCACGCTCATCAATCACTCATGTGACCTATGGTATACTCGTGTCTGGGTGTCTGTCTGGGGACAACTGGGTTTTCTGGTCAGAATGGTTGAGATTCAGATGAGGAAATCTCAAGTAATTAATTGAACTGAGTGTGATGTGAGATTTTGGTCTACTATTTGACTCTGGGAGCTCAGTGATGGTGGAACATGTATAAAGCCTGACTCATTTGGTACATCATAGATTAGAAAGATGTGAAAGAAGAAAAAAAAAACTTTTTTTTTTTTTTTTGCTAGGAAGACTGACTGTGGCCTTGGCTAAAAGCTCAAAATCCCAATTCCTTGGGGGCCACATTTTATGAGTTTCAAATGTTAAGCAGCCATGGGAGCTCACGGACTGAAGCACTTTTCTGAAGGCAGTATCGCTCTGTGGGGACTGTTAACTGCAGAATGGTATTTTATTTAACAGACAGTATGGACTTCATACATATCCATTATCAGTGCCTTGAAAACCAAACAACTTTAAAAGGTAGCAGCAGCTTCTGCAAGTACAAAAATACACATTTATTACATAACATATGGTAGTAAATTTTGTCAAGATATATTATACAAACTCAAAGCATTTTAGATAAAGCATCAGTCTAATATATTATAGATTGACAGAGTATAATAAAATGACACATAGTCTGTCTCCAAATCATACATCATACTTTACAGCAATATTAACAAACTATTCACATTAAGTGTGACAGGAGTATCTAAGGGGACTCCGAGTAGCAAGGGGTATTGAAGAGCCTCGGCATCTATTTTCTGCTATGCTCCCATTTGGGTGGGGGACTTGCTACCCGCCACGTGAAAGTAAAAAGGCTAGGCAAGGTATCTTGTTAGGCGGAGAAGCAACTTCTTGAAAGACACTCCAAGCAGTAAGAGTCTCATTCACATCTTGGCTTTGGACAGTAGTCAGCCTACAGGTCCGGGTCCCTGCTGGCGGTCTGTGGTCCCCCCCAGAAGGTGCACAGGGACCCTGGGGAGTGTCGTCTGGGAGGGTGGGTTGGAGGGCGAGATCTACTTCAGTCTGTGACTGAGCTGGTCAGTGCGTCGCGGCCTTTGTTGGACGCAGTTCTCAAGGTGACAGTCACTGAGCGCCAACAGGCTGTGTCCCGTGGAGGTAGGTAGCACCTATAACTAACACTGTTGAGGACTTCTATCTGACAGAGACATTATTTTCTTTCTAGTACTGCAAAATGCAGCCTTTAGGGCAACAGGGAGAGAATATTTGAATGCTTTCTGGTGGCTAAGAAAAAGAATAGGCAGGTGGTGGTGCAAAAGGACCACCTGGTGGTATCCTGGAGACCAAATGGCTCCCAGGAAGCTTGCTGTACGAAGTTTCCATGCAGATATACGTCCTGATTCTTCCCCTTCACACTGGCTGCTGAGGCCCCACAGCCCCCAGGGATCACCCAGGAGCTGCTCGGGCAGCCCGACAGAGGAACGGGGCAGATGTGGAATAAGCCCACTGGGTGTACATCACCTGTGCCTCGCTTGGGGCAAAAATAACCTCGGTTGTAAGAAAAATCCAAAGTCCAGGCCTGTCAGAGGAGAAAGGCTGCTGGCTGCCCTGGGGATAGTCGTGTCCTTTGACACTTCTAAACTGCCACTGTCTAAGGTGATCTTTTAACTGCCGAGTGACAACAGAAAGGGGGTGCCTGTCAGGGGCTTTCTCTTCTGGCTATGGGGAGGCGGGGCTCACACCCTGTCTCCGCCAGGAGGAGCCAGGCTCTGCTCAGGGGGGCAGCAGCGTCCGCAGAGTGGACAGGCCTGGTGTGGGGGCCCCTGGGTCCACGCCCAGATGGTCACCCCGAGAACGGCAGCGCTGCCTCTCTGGAAAATGTGCCCATGCTGGGCGCCTGGGGTCACCCTGGGGCTGCTGTTCCCTTCTTTCTCCTTCGAGGAGCAAGGCCACACTAAGGGGAGACAAACCCACTCACACACAGGCACGGCGGCCATGGTAGTGTGTGTGCTTGGGGCTCCTGACACCAGGGCTGGTCCCCGAGGGGTCCTGTGAGGGCACAGGTCTGTCGGATATGGCTGAGCAGCCCCTGGCTTGGAGGGAGGGAGACGCTTTGGTCCTCACCTCCCCCCAACCCCCCATGGGGAGGGGCAGGGCTCCCTCCTGCCACTTGCCTCACCCCTCCTCACTGCCAGAACAGGGCCTTCTCAGGACACTCGGCTCACAGACTGGTCCTGGAGGCATGCTGCCCGACAGAGGTGCGTCCCCTGGCCCTCTGCTAGGGTCTCTAGAAACACGGCAGGGCCAGGCCCTTGACCCACCCAAGGAAGGACCAGGATTCCAAACACTTAGATGATGGACTTTTTTTAAAGAAGTCTAAGCTTCTCCCCCCCACCCCCCAAATAGTCTCAGAGAGAATTCTTTTTGTTGTCCTAAGTATTAGCGATGATTATGCTTATACCACCCATCCCAGGTATTTTATACAAAGGGGTCATAATTACTGTCTTTAGGTCATTATTAGCTCCGTTTCTGATCTTGCAGACGGCAGCTGCTTACTGCGGCTCACTGTCTGTGGCTGGCTGTCCGTCTCCAACATTGCAGACCTCGGTGAGGCCCGAGCCGGGGCTGGGCGCGTCCAGTCCCGTCAGAGGGCCGGGTGAGGCCCTCGCGCAGGGCAGAGCCCCGGGAGTGCACTGGCCGCCCTGCTGCCCGGCCTCGCGCGGCTCCGCGGGGAGCCGGAGTCTGTCTTCCACCACGCAGAACTGGGCGCGGCCCTGCAGCGGCTGCGGGTCGGGGCCGGGAGGCGCGCTGGGCCAGGGCTCTGCGAGCCCCGCGTCTTTCCGCGGGTCTGGCGGGGAGCCGGCTTCGAGAACAGCGGCGGCGCGAGCCAGCGGCTCCGCGGGCCCTTGGAGCGCGTCTGTTTTCCGTTCCTCTGGTCGCAGCGCCCTGGCCTTCTTCTTGAGGGACCAGTTTTTCAAGCTGGCCACCCCGTTTCTCAACCACGTGCTGGGGTGGAGCGTCACGGGGTGCATATGCGAAGGCCAGTCCAGGGGGTCCTTTTTGGCAGAGCCCAGACGCCTGCCCGGCGGCCCCGCGGAGGGCCCGGGCATTCCGGAGAGGTGGCTGGCGGCGCTGGGGTCGGCGGAGGGCTCCTCGGCCTTTCTCTGCGCCTGGAAAGTGCAGTCTACGGGAGAGGACGTTTCCGTGGGCGTGAACACCGAGTGTTCGGAGATCTGGGAGAAGGCGCTGTCCTGGGAGCTCACCGAGGAGCCCGACGGGGAGGAGCCCGGGGAGGACAAGCTGGAGTAGCTAGTCCTTGGGCAGAGGCTCAGGCGCGGGGGCAGCGCCCTGTCGCTGTGCGGCGCCGCGGCACTGCCCTTGCGCACCTCGATGCCCATGACCAGGCTCTGGTTGATGAGTTTTTGCCCTTCCATCTGCAAAGACTTGTGCCGCTTGAGATAATCCTCCTCCCCGTGCAGAAGGCCGGGGCCGCAGCCCGTCTTCTGCTGCTGCTTGGAGTGTACGGCCCTGAGGTAGGTGAATTTGCACCGCTGGTCGTCCATGCTGGGCTCCGAGCAGCGCCGGTGCCGCCGCGGGCCCTTGAGGGCGTCGGCGGTGTGCGGCGGGGAGTACCCGGGGGCGTCGGCCGCGCAGGGCTGGGTCCCTGCCCGGTCCGGCGAGGGCGTGTGGCTGCAGGGGGCCACAGAAATGGCCACGGGCCTGGACTTCGGGAAGAGTCTGCCGTGACCGCCTTCACCGGCCGACGAGCTTTTCTTCCTCGGGGTTTGGCCGGCGCTGTCCTTCCTGCCCGCGTCCCCGCCCGGGGCCCCTCCGGCTCGGTGGCCCGCCCTGCCCTCCTCCCGCGGGGGCGGGTTCTGCTTCGGGTCCTCCGCGTCCTTCTGCGAGAGGATGGCGTCACAGCTGGACTTGCGGAGCTTCTTCTGGTAGAACTCCCTGAGGTAGGAAAGCTTGGAGTCGAAATAGTCGATGCTGGGCTCCGAGCAGCGGCGGTGCCGCCGCAGGCTCTTGGGGGCCTCCGCGGCCGGCAGGTAGCCGGGCGTGCTCAGGCTGCAGGGGGCGCGGGCCGGATCCCGCAGGGGGGCCTTCGCGTACACCACAACCCTGCCTGGCTGGGCCTCCAGGGGCCCGGCCAGGGGCACGTCTTCGTCTTTGGAACGGTCTAGGTCGAAGTCACTCAGGGTTAAGAGGCCCTCCACCTCGGGCTGGTCGAGGTCATAGTCGCTGAGGGTCAGCACAGAGTCCATGCTCCTGCTGCCCTGACCCAGCTTCTTCACCAAGTCGCTGCACGGGGCGTCGACATCCTCATTGAGCTCATTTTCCAAGCTGTCGTAGGAGGAGTCGTTCAGTTGGAAGCAAGAGAGATCTAGCAGAAAAATCAAACCGCGGCGTTACCGTTTTCACTTGTTAGAAAGAGTCGGCGCCCCGCGCTGCCTTCCACTAAGTACACAGCTTAGGTTTAAGCGCCTGTCTAGCAGATGCTCAAATTGCCTCTCTCAACGAAGACTTTCAGTCTTCCCAACTGTAGTGTCGTGCAGAGCACAGAAACACCTGCTGGGGTATATTAGATTTACCCCGGTTGCTGAAGAAATGGGCTTTCTACAAATACCCTCAAGCAATGAGAGCAAGCCATAGTATCACGAAATGGTAAGAAGGAGGGCCAACTCCAGGAAGGCCCAAGCCCGGCCGGCAGAGGCCTCTGCCTCCTCCCGCCAGGGCCACACGCACTTCAGGCCGGTCTCCGGAAACCATTCACTAAACCCTGCGAACTTTTCCTTGAGAAAGGTCTTTGATGACCATTACTTCTACTTAATCTTCACCACCACCCTGGCTAGACATTTCTTGGTATCATGACTTGACCATCTGCACGTCCCTCCTCCCCTGGCCCCACACGCCGGCTGGGTTTCAGCTGTGGCTGTTCACTAGAACACTAAGGTGACTCGGACGCCAGAATGAGGAGGAAGAAACAGAGCAGCTCTGTAGTCTGGCCTTCTCTCCCAACATTGTTACAGGCAGTAGGGTTCTTTGAAAAGTTTTATTTTTAAGATGGGTCAAATCACCCTAGTGTATCATGCTGCCACGATACATGATAAGTAGGGACTTATCTTAACATCCTTTTCTTCTTTTCTCTAGCTCTGCCCTAGTGTTGACATTGGCAGGACCCCAAAGAGGGCAGGCCCTGGGACCACTGGCCCCGGGGAGAGGCTGCCTCCCCTGAGCTGCTCTGGGTTCTCAGACAACTCCTGTTCCAGCACAGACGTGTCTTTCTCAAAACAGCCAATCCAGTTATTGCCAATACCTGAGGCGTTCTCTCTAGTATCACATCTCACTGAAACCTCTCCCAAGAGGGAAGCGATCTCTTCTCCAAATATCCTACAGCAATTTTCAATCAGAAATTGTATGAGTAGAGAAACCTGGTCAGAAAAAGATAAAAGTAAAGTGCAATGTGAATGCCTTTCATATTGCAAAAATCCCTATTTAAAAAAAGTGAGCGTTCTGGGAAAAATTCATGTCTGCTCCAACTTAAAAGTAAACACTTTTTAGAGCAGCATAGATAGATATTAACCAGTGGACCGACGTTCCTTAGGAGTTTGCCTTAGTGCTAACATCTTTATGCCAACGACTGTCTGTAAACTTAGGGCAATTTCAAGCATGCTCAATGGGTGTTTGGGGTGAAATGTACCCCTGCTGTGGGAAAGCAGCTGTTGAAAGGCAGGAAGAGGGCTGTTCCAGGGCTGGTTGTGAGGGTGGAGACAGCAGGAGAGAGAACCTGGGCCCGGCTGGCCTCTGCCTCTGCCCTCCGGCCTCTGACTGGACGCGCTTAGCAGAGAGGCAGGATCTGACCAGAGCGCTTTCTGCCTCCACTGAGATGTTCTGCAGTCTTGGCAGAGTTTCCCTGACCCAAGAGGGAGATGAAGGCCCCTGAACCCTGCATCAGCACTGAGGGATGGGACTGTGAGAATAAGCAACAGTTGCAGAAACTATGGATCGATGTAAGTTACCATCTCGTGGTGAGGCCAGGGCTCATGCCAACAGCCAACAGCACGTAGCTTTCTAGAACCCAATCAGCTGCTTGCACTCCAGTGGCAGTCAGAGTCTCTTTGCCTCTTTAAAGGGAAAAGACGAGTAACCAACCCACTGTTAGATCACAGAAAGGTGGTTTATCAGGAGCAGATAAGACACTCCAGTGTACAAGGAGGTACACGTAAGTGATTTAAGACGTTGTCTCCTAGAACATCTCCAACTTCAGGTTCAAAATGTGGGCTCAGTACCCCATTTAGGGCAGAAAGTCAAAAAACCTCCCCTTACCTTTTTTGTAAACTCGTTTTCTAGTTCTGGGCTGGAGGATGTAGGCGGCCACAGGATGCTGGGAGCGATACACACGGCTAAGTTAAATGCCGTCATCTGATTGGCCGAGGAATGCTGCTCGATGTTGTGCAAAACCCCAAAGAGATACCGCAGGAGGACAACATTGGCTCTCGGAAGCTGGTCTATCAGCCTAAAGACAGAAAGGGCGCTTAAGCGAAACGTTTTGTAAACATCTTATCCAGAGAGGGCCTCACAGCCCCAGGGCCTGCAAAGCCACAGAGGCCAGCGACATTCCGCGTGCGGCAGGTGGGGGCTGCCAGTGCAGAGATGGCACGTGGGCCCTGGCGGTTGACTGCTTTTGCACTATGTCTTCCCAATCCAATGTTAAGGTTGAATAATTAGAAAAATGGCTCTTAAAAACATGCTGCCTAAAATGTTTCTGAAATTCCTAGTGTGTTTTAATTGAAGCAATCTAGTAACATTTCAGAATGTGCTCAACCCCAAGCTCCCAAGCCCCCTAAAGCTGTCTGATGAAATGAAACAATTAAAACGCAGGTGAGCCCATGTTTCCCACTGGACCCTGGGAAAGCTGCCCGCCAGTGCGAGCCCAGCCCTGTGCCGCCGTGACCTCTGGGTCCAGCCTGAGGACTTCTGCTCTGCCCTGCCAGCTTCTGAGGGCAATGTGTTCCAAATCTCTCTTTCTCTCAGCTATAAAGTCAATTATAATGTATGTCCTGCTGTTCCTGTGCTGTAATTGGTAAGGAACTTAAAAGTCAGACCTTGTGGAAGGCGATTTTTACTGTGAGCTAGAATAGCGGCACATAGTTACATTCACGGTGGCTCAGGGAGGCGTTTCTTCAGTATAGTAGGCTGATGGGCATAGTGTGGCGGGTTGAATTACTGAAGACAGAATGGGGCAAGGCTCCCTGAGTGAATTCAGTGGGGAGGCAGGTGCTGTCTGAGGACACTCGGTCAATGCAGTAACTCCAAGTGTGACTGGCTGCACAACAATTGTCGACAGACTAGAAGACTGCCAGAGATGTTATTTCTGTCCTCTCTTCCGTGGGCCTGTATTTATGAATTCGGTTGGCAGTTTGGATTCAGTTGCTTACACTGTACTGTGAAATCTCTTTTGAAATGGTTACTAGCCCTCTAATTAGTGACCTAAATAAAATCCTCCACATACACTGGGTTCCATAATTTTAGCTTTTTTTTTTTAAATCAATAGTTTGAATGAACATTGAGTCTATACTTTGTCCTACAATCTGTTTTTTACCAGGTCATAATGGGAGTTGGTATTTTGTTCCATGGTTTTGATGTCTGGTGTCTTTGACAGCTGCACTAGGTTCTTCTACAGTTACTGGCAAGTTACTAAACAACCATATGCAAATGAATGATAGTGGGATTCTTGGGTTTCCTGGAAATAGTTTTCTGATAATGGATGTATCTTTCCTAATTCCTTATAATGCAGGAAATAGGAATGGGGAAACCACTGTGCATGATAAATGAGAAGCTACTGATTAGGTGACCTGGGCAGTATCAAAATGCAAACGGTAGATGGACGGCCCTAGATCACGGGCACACAGCCTTCCAGGGTGCAAGGTGAGGGTTTAAGTCTTTGAATGTGCCCGTGGGGTACGGCTTTGTCTATGAAAGTAGTACATCAGCCTTACAAGTTATAAAAAAAGTGCTGCCGAGGCTTAACACAATTAGAATAATTACCTTTGAATTGTATTTACTTTCTCTTCATCATTTCCTTGATCCATGACAGAGACCCAGTGATCATAGAGATCTGATGAAAAAATGCTTCCTGGAATGTTGCGCAGAAAATCCTTCCATAGAGGGAAAAACAAATAATATGAATCATTATTCTCATGCTGATTATGTACTGGAGAAACCAGAAGCCATCATGGTGAAAGTTCAGTTAAGTCCTCCCTTCTTTGGAATCTGCACAGGCAGAAACACATGCTTTGACCACTTTTTGAACAACAACAACAACAAAAAAACAGTAATAATTGGAGTCTGCGATATAGTCCTGCTTGGGCTGGAACCTCCTATTTGCACACATCTTAGCCAACTAAGACAGGGTCTGGTACTGAACCATCCAAAATACTTTTCCCCTCCCAAATCTCTAGTTCATGCGTTACCTTGCAGATACCTGTATCAGTCACGCCACCATCCACACAGATTAGCACCGCCATGCCAAGGCCTGGATGGTGCTGGGGACAGAGAGGTGAACAAAGCACAGGCCTGCTATTTCAGAGCCTTTGATTCTAGTGGTGCTGATCCACTGCACACACTTAGTTTCTCCCTACATCCCCCACAAAAGGGGAGCAAGATGCCCAGCTCTGGTAAGCCTCTAGTAGCACCCTCATACCTGGTGGACACCAAACACCACGCCCCCAGCATCCTTTCTAGCACTGAGATTCTGTTCTGGGCCCATCAGCTGGATTGGGTGTGGCCAGATCAGACTATGAAGTAGCAGGCGTGCATGGCCAAGAGTGATTAGTTTATTTTTCAGCTTTAAAAAAAAAAAAAAATCTTCATCCGAGTCCTATATTCCTTTCAGTTCTAGGCCAGCTCTTGTGTTGCTTTAGACATGTTGTTAGCGAGGCCAGGCCTGCAAAGTCTGAGCTCCACTAGTCTATTGAGCTGAGAAACTCAATTTCTTGTCTAAGATCTGTAGCAGGGAGGGGCAATCTCCTTGCAAGTTCCTATTCACAAGGAGACAGGTGGAGGTCTATTGTTGAGCAATCTTGACTCCAATTGGAAAAACAAAAAATCAAGCTTCACCCCTATGCTAGGTCTCCATCGAGAGGAGAGCTGTGCCGTGATGTCACGCACGCCTCGTCTACAGCTACTGGGGGCGAGGCCTCTGTGCTCTGGACACCCCACGTGTAGTAGGCCCACACATAGAAGACGTTACTGCTGAGTGTCACAGAGCCCAAGAACCTTGTAGTTGTTTTATCTGTTACAATTTTTTAAAGATGAAATCAGTCATCTTTCTACTTAGTAACCAAAGTCTCTCTCCTATTATTTCCAGAATGTACCTGGATACTTGGGATTCAAATGTGTTATCATAAGTTTCCTGCATTTGGGTAAAGCTATTGAATTTTCCAAACTAATTTTAGTTGCTGTACCTATTTTAAAAGTCAGATTTAGAAGAGGTGAAATTTTTATTTCAAAGTGGCGGCAGTGACAATAGCTCTCTTTTTAATTTTGGTGGAAAACATACTTATGATCTGACTGACAAGAAAACATCACTACACCTTAAACCTACACATGAGAGAGAATAACTTGTAACATCTCAATGAACTCCCCACAGCTGGAATAACAAGTTATGAAAGACAACCATCATCTCCGCTAGGAAATGCTGTGTGAAGCTGCTTTGACTGAAGGTTCCTCCCCTCCTGACTCACAGTCCAGACTCTCAGCAGAAACCTAATTACTTGGAGATGGAGATTCCAGCTGGATTAAAAACAAATTTTGCCTGTAGGTCTGCTGGATTATAGGGAGGGCGCCTCAACCAGGTCTGGTCCCCCCACAGCAGGTAAGCTAAGAGTTAAACGTTCATGTTACTTAATGCTGATTTTCCTTAACTCTCTGGTACAATTTCCAACTGGTATGACAAACAGACAATAGCTCAAAAGACTTTTGGCAAAACTCATCTCCTTCCTGCAACCACTTGGGTGGAAATCAGTCATTCGATTATTAACTTTCAATTAATTGGAGTCCATTTCACCCAGGCTTTTCAATCATTTGGACCAGCAGTACTTCTGAAACTTGAAATGTCCGAACTCTCTCAGAACCATGCTACTTTGGAATAGCCACCCCTAGTGATGTAGCTACGCCTATTGACGTAGGCTGCTGTGAAGAATAGCAAAGGAAGAATGATTTTCTAAAACATAGGCTTTAACCTCCATGAAGCGATGGGATAAAGTCGTATATGTATATGAAAGTTTCATATACATTCCTGACATTAGTTTACACCCCCTGTGTATCCTTATTGTGTTCTAGGGCTGCAAAGGAATCACGGACTCAGTGCAGAATAGATTCGATGACCTTTTTGCTCCAGCTCGCCAGTTCTCTGAGTGAGACCTTACTGCGAAAGCCTCCAGCAGGGGCTGTTTAAGAGCAGACATGGCCCATTTGCCAATAAAACATCTGACTGTTCGTAAACTCCTGGAGTTCGAGTCTGCAGGCAGCTGAGTACTCAGCGGGGCATGCCCCGAGAGCTGCTGCTTCATCATCATTCCATTAAGCCCTGTTTATGCCCAGGACCGGGACCCAGGCTGGGGGCTGGTGCACCCTGCTTCGGTGCAGTGCACCCCTGCTGGGAGCCTGAGGCAGGGCTGCAGAAGCTATTGCTGGGTCACAAGCTCTACTAACAGCTGGTTTTGACTCTAGGTTGTCCAAAAATGTGAGGCATGTTCAAGTATGTGGGAGAAGGCATTTTAGAAAGTGCTCTAACTCACTATGGATATGACTTAAGTAACCAAGGGGTGAAGGGTGAGAGCCGTGAAGGAAACCAAATGTGCTGAGGGTTCTATAAAAGAGCCCAGATGCTGGAATCATTCCCTGCTCCACTTTGAGTGGGCAGAAGGGAGCAGGGAGGCATGGGGACTGTGCACATGAATGGAATTTTCAGTGGTCTCAGCATGCAATTTTTTGTTTCAGCTGTTAGGCGTATGTTTATTCAGGTAAGCTGCAGTTCCCAAGTTTCACGAAACTGAGAATTTTGTCTTTATTGAAGGGCGTGAGACTGAGAGGAAGTCCTCAGAGTTACGGTGTTTTTTCCACGGTTGGAAGTGAAAGCAAGTGGAAAACAAGTGTATCACTGGCCACAGCTCTGAAGTGCCATGTCGACTTTTTTTTTTCCCCCAGATTGAACGCGCACGATGGGTCTTTGCAGACGGCCATCGGGTGATAATAAAAGAAACCCCCCACCTGGCTCCAGAGGCACGTGCATGGCGGGTGAGAGGCCTGCATCTACCTTTAAGACGGAGGCGATCACGAAGATGGATTCACCGTCCAGGTGCACCTCCGCTCCGGCATTCAGCCGCTCTTTCAGCTCGCGGCAGGATTTCACATTGGCGGACTGTCTGAAGATGCCTTTGGTGAGGGGTCCTTTTTGATTAAGAAAGAAAAGCATGTCCTGGGGGGGAGCAAAAGAGAGAAAGCCACGATGGCGCCTCGCTCGTGCGAGCCGGTGGGCCCGGCGCAGATGGCCGAGCGCGTGTCCTCGAGCTCGTCTGGCTAAAAGGCTTCACTTTACACATCTGCTGCCCCAGCACTGCTTTGCTCAGTGGGCCAACAGCCACTGCATGATCCAGCTTTACCAAACACGTCTCTCTCCTGCCTCACTGTTTGCGTCCATTATTCTCACTGTTTCTCGCACTGTGGAAATACCCGTGCTGCACAGTATCTACTGGTGTGTCTTCAAACTTTGCTCTGCCTGCTATCTTTATGCCCTTCTCTGACAATGAGGCCCCCCAGCTCCTTCCCCGGGGAGCATCCTCCAGGGCACTGCACGCTCAGCTGCCTTGCAGTTTGCTCCGTCTTCCTAGCTGGATGGGCTCACCCTGCAGGGGCCAGGACATGGGCGCCAGACACTGGCGAGCCGTGGGAGCTGAGGCCGTGTTGGGCCACGTAGGGACTGCCGTGTGACCTTCGGCAACCCTGAGGCTTTATTCTTTAATTTGCAAACCAAAGTGGGGTGGCAGTCTCCCCCTTCAACCTCAGCACTGATCAGGTGCCAGAGGGTTGGGGGGGATGGCTGCTCCGTGCGTGCTGGACGGGGGTCATTAGTGCATGGACAGGAGGTGGTAGCTTTTAGCCATGCTGTTACAAGAGGAAAGCAGAGACTGTTTGTTTCTCTCAGCCACAGGCTTGAAATAAAAGACTGTCACTACAGTGATGACTGAGGACACTCAGAGTCCAAGAAAGGAGGTGAGAGAAACATGAGGGACGAGGAGGCTTCCCTGTCCATCACACAAACTCTGACTGACCAAGCAGCTGTATGTCACTCCCACCTGTGTCTAGGTAAGTGTCCTGCTGTTTGGGGGATGGCAACCCCCAGGTCGGGCTTTTACTCGCTGAAGTGACCATAATCCCCAAGTCAGGTGTGTCTACGGCTTCTCTGTCTGGGGCTGGTGATGCCGGCCAGGCTCTCCTCCCCCCTCGTCTTTCCAGCCAGTGTGACGGCTGACGCGGACTCACCAGCACGGGTTTGGGCAGGTTGTCGTTCTCACAAATGCTGGGCAGAGACACACCGAAGAGCTGCCCGGCCACAGGCGACGTCGGGGACAGGGGCAGGTTGTCCAGGTGCGTGCTGGAGCCCCGCCAGAAGGCCCAGTTTATGATGGATCTTCTCCTCTTAAACGTCTTCTGGCCTGAATCTAAGGAAGAAGGGAGACGGTCAGGAAAACTAGTTTAATCCCCTTCAGCATGCTGTTGTTTCGGTTCCACGGCCTGACCGCCTCCGAGGCTCAGAGAAGGTGCGCGCAGCTGTGCTGTTAGGACAGGCGGGCCGTCGTCAGTGAGGGGAATCGGACGTGGGGGTCACCATCCCACCCGATTTGGGGATGTCACGGTTGGCTTAGCCGAGGTTTGGCCCTGGATTCTCAAGGGCAGAGGAGAGGCTGCCTCACTGAACTGTAATGACGTCTACAGTCACCCTCTCATTCCGTTTTAAAGCGAGGCCTAGACAGGCTAAATGGTTGAAGATTAAATTAGACCACAGAGAGAAAGCTGGGCGAACGGAGCAGGAGAGGGAGAGCGGAGCGCTTACTCTCCAGCTGTTCCCCAGTGACAAGGAACGCTTTCTGGGCCGACGCGGCCGCCTGTGCCCCTCTCCGTCCCACTCTACCCTTTCAGGCCCAGCTTTAAAGACGGGAGCGTGAATGAGGCTTACACTTACCCTGGCTAGGTTTACAAACTACTGGGGCACAAGGCTGCTGGTGGTGGGGACACTAAATAAAGTGTCACCAGGAGAGAAGGCCAGCGGCACAGGAGAACGGGAAGTATCTCTACCCAGCGGGGGGGGGGGGGGTGGGATCCTGGAGTGTCGCTATTCGATCTGGAGTTCGAATGAGCAAAACCTAACAGATGGAGCAACCAGTGTGGTAGTAAAGTGAACTGACAAGTTATTCTAGAGCAGCGACGGAGCTGAGAAGTTGGGGTGGCGTGAGGGCAACGGCGGGTCATGGCTTCTGGACAGCACGCGGTTGACGTCACCTGTGTAATGTGAAAGGTGATGGACGTACAGGACAGCAATTTGAGGTTCCCTCTGCGTCTGTCTCTACCATCCCACCAAGCCGCCTTCACCCCAAGGCTCCCCAAAACAAACGGGCAGCTGTAAACCGAGTAAACTTACAAGCAACCGAACAACACTATGAAGGTACTAAAGAGCGACAGAAAGAAGGTAGATGATGCAGGTGACAGTTTGATACTTGTGAGAAGGGAATGGCCCGAGGCAAACCCCCCCTGGGTGTGGGGTAGTGACTAAAACGTGGAGAGATACTGGACCTTCACTGCTTTGAAGGACCAGAGAATGGAGATGCAGGTCATCACAGCAGCTCCTGCCCAGACCTTTGCTGGCACCTGAGCCCAGAGCCCAGGGGGCTGCAGTTGTAGCTGCTGGAGCTGGGGTGGGGGGCGGAGGCGGGGTGCAGAGTCGGGGCGGGGTGCGGCTCCACCTCCCACACAGGTGAGTGCCATTTCCCGAGGGAGCCGGGGAGTTAACCATCAGACTCGGGCATGGCCACACACATGCTTGGCTGCCAGGCGTTTGGTCAGGATTTGAGCTGGTTGTTTTAAAGAAAGCAACACAAGTGCACGAGGGCCAAACACGATCAGACTTTCCTTTGAAACAGCACAGGACCGGCTGAGCGTGCGCCCTCCGGAGGACACTCCAATCCTGACCAGCACAGAGGTGGCCCTGTCACTCACCCTGGGCTCCCGAGGCAGCGGTGGGTGCAGCGTGAAGCGGGTGCTCAGGGTTGAGGCCTCCAGCCCTCCCTGGAGTCGGGGCATGGCAAGACTCCTGGCTTGAGTGACTTCGATCGTCAGCTTTACAGTGAGAACCGGACCCCTGAGCCCGCCGGGGCTCGCTGTGGCAGAGGAGGAGCGTGACACTGGACAGTACGACCCTGCAATCTCAATCGGAGCCACCGAGACACCAGCGTTCTTCCCCACAGCCACCTGCAAGGGTACCGGCCTCGGGGAGGTAGGCACACAGTGCAGACACAGGCTCTGCCTAAGAAAGCGCCTGGCCAGTTCATGCTTCCGCGGCCCTGACCTTCCCAGCTGCCGCCACTTAAAAATACGGAGCATGAAACGACGGAACGACGCCCCTCCTTGCACCCAGGAGGGGTCCCTGGACACCTGGCAAAGTCCGCGTATGCACGCTGCCCAGGAGGCCACCTGGCAGGGCACCCCCAGCTCCAGGAGCGGCACTCGGGGTACTGGTCACTCTGGCTTCCTCCCTTTTAACCTAGTTCTGCTACTTCCAAAGCCGTTGGGCTGCTTTTCCAGCTGCCCCCCGCATCCCGGGAAACATGCACTGTCCTGCGGCAAGTCGAAGCCAGCAAGCCCCCGACGCCCCTGAGGCCCAGGGCGAAACCCAGCGCTGCGCTGTACCGTGAGTATTTTCAGCTGCCGCCCAGCTTTGCCTTTGCACACACCACTTGGCTTTTAGAGTTCACATTCCCCCTGGGACTGAGACAAAAAATTTTCATTAAAGTCCACTTTCTTGCAGAGCTTTTAACACATACCTCTTAAATTTCATGGGCTGGTGATGGGGTAAAAAAAAAAAAAAGGGCTATTGTTACAAAACACAAGGGCGATGTATAGGGCGAGCAGACCGCATGTGCGCAGTCTCGTTTCCTCAGCAACTCTGGCAAGACACAAGTTTGTGTTTCCTCACTGGGTTCAGGGAACTGAATATTGAAAATGACAATAGTTTACGCTTACAGGACAGTGGAAAAAAAAATTGGAAATTCTATTCTGGCCGTAGCACTCGTCCCAACCTCCCATTAAGAAGCCCTTGCATCCCCCCCCCCCCCCCCAGAGCAGGAAACACCCAGGGGCCACAGGGCTGCCAGGGGGTGGGCAGTAAGCCCAACACTTTGCTCTTGCGCTTACCTATGCTGGGCTGAGGTGATGCCCCTGGCCAGCGATGACCTGTCAGGGACACGAGGAAGGGGCAGCCCCCCACCCAAGGAGCGGGGGTGTCGGGAAGCAGCATTGGGGGTGGGTCTCGAGGTGAGACGTCACTGTCCGGCCAGCACCAGGGCCGACTCATGGGCAGCCACGCGCCGAGGCCGGTGCCCGAGTCCAGGGGCGGCCCTCTCAGAGACGCTGCCACTGTGGGGGTGTCGCGGTCTCGCTGTTCAGCACCTCGTCCCCACGCCGGCGCAGACCTTCCGGACAGGCCGGGCGACTGCGCTCACCTGGGGTCATTTTGGTGACAGCCTCTTCCTGCGCTGACTCGAGGAGCCTCCCTCAGAAGTGGAGGTAGAGTCTCTATTCCAGTTTTGTTTTTTTTTTCAGATGGCCTAAAAATGTGGTGTTAATTGTCCTCAGCCAAAAACGCTAACCGAAATGATCTTCTCTCACCCACTTGTTAATCTCAAAAGCAGGAGTTGCCACACAAAGGACCATGCAAAACCTCTGCCACGCGCTGTTGCAGAAGGTGTGAGCTCTGCAGATTAAACACAGATGCCACATGCTCCATGTGTCCCTGCCGAGAAGGAACTGGCTTGTTTCTGCCTATCAGGCGTCAGGCGGCGCAGCGACAGGTATGAGAACAGGGGCGGGGAGGAGCAGCGTCTTGCTCAACTCATGTCCTCCAAAGAGGGATCCTGGCTCACGTTCAGGGCTCAGGAGTTCACGACGAGGCTACAGGAGCAGCGGGGATGGCGGTGCCAAGACACTCAGCGCCCATGTCCGAGTCTGTGCTGCTCTGGACGTGTGGGCAGCAGTGGGGGCCGTGCTTCAGGTCCCGGCTTTCCTGCTAAATGCGCCCCGAGCCTGCTCGCCTGTGAAAGGGTGTAACAGGGCCCCTTCCTGGGCCTGCTCTAGGCTTACAATGAAGTTTTAAGGTTTTACAGAGCCAAATTCTGCACAGAGGTCACCTGCCATGGAGAGAGCCAGCAGGACTCCAGCTTCAGGCTCTCTCAGGACCTGCTGGCTTCCCCACCGGGAATGGAAAGCCCCACGCTGAACAGGAAAGAAGGGGGTGCGGCTTCTGGGTAAGTCTGAGACGTCAGCAGGGCTGTGGGGCTTGAAGGTGCCCTCGGATCCTCTCAAGCAGAGGCCGGCAAGCCACATCCCCGGGCCTGGCCCTGACGGCCACCTAAAGCTGGTGAGCTCAGAAAGGTTTTCATGATTTCCACAGGTTGGAAATACCCAAAGCATAACCTCTTCTCCTTAGACCAATCTTAGATAAAATGGTACAACGAAAAACTGGGGACATTTTTTATGATTTTACCATGTGGTCCTCTGAAAAGTTTGCTGTCCCTGAGCTGCATCAGGGGTTTCCAAAGCAGCTGCTCATCAAAACCTCCCGCGTCTACAAACACCCAGAAACGGGCTCCCTGTGACGTTTTAGTTGCACAGTTGACCACAGCCCAGCGCCGCCACCAGGGCTAGTCTCACCCCTCCCCGACCCGCAGCACGACAGCCCTCAGGAAGAGACGGCCCGGAACACCCAGGACGCCTCCACCTCACTGGCAGCACTGGCTGAGACCCTTGGCATTTTGCCCCCATTACCGCTCCAACGGACGAAAAGGTCTAGGAGCCCAAGAGAAGCATAGAGTGAGGCTCTCAGCTGAGCTACAAAGGCCGAGTGCCCTTGTGTCCCAGGAGACGCACTGGTGCATTCATTCAGCCAGTACTGGGCACTGGGAACACAGCAGCGAGCAAAACAGACCAGTCTCTGCCTTCAGGGCGCTCACGAAGTAGCGGACAGGCAGCTCTGAGACACCCTTCCCAAACGGCGCCAAGGCGTGAATGAACAGCCTGGGTGTCCCCAAACTCAGCTGACAGCTACAGGAGCTAAGTTGCCCCAGCTGGTGGACCCGAGGTGTGGGAGCTCCTGGCCACCTTCAGTAAACAAAGTCTGAGGCCAGGCGTGCTGGGGGACGCTAAGTCTTGGTTGGCCGGGTGGAGGGGGGATGCTCGTAAAGCGGCTGCCACCGTTTCTACCAAGAAGCTATGCAGGTGCAGCGTCGACTTCCTGCTCCCTCCTCCCACTTGGTGTCTGTTTTCTTCTACTTCGGACCCAGCTGCCTTTCAGGCCAAGGGCACAGGGCACAAACTTGGGTGAGGTAAAGGAAGGTCCCTCCTGCCCTGAGCATCACTGAGTGTTTTTCAACGGGTGGGGGAGAAGAGGGCTGGTTCGTTTGCAGGGACCAGCTGCATGAGGAGAGGCTCCCGCAGCCCCAGAGCTCGGCAGGCCAGCCGGCCTCCTGCTGCGTGGCCCTGAGAGCTTCCCTTGAAGGTGAGACAGGTAGGGGACGCTCGGGGGTCCTGCCACCTGCGCACTGGCTGGGGGCCCTTCCACCGGGCCCGAGTGAAAGGGGAAGGAGGGGAACAGACGCACTGCTCCCAGCTGCTGCTTCAGAAAACCACCTCAGTGGCCCCCAGCTCCCTTTCAAACATGAGACAAATTCAAGAGCACAGCCCTCGCTTGGCCGCTCTACTTTGTCTGCAGGAATGGACACTACTCTAGCTAGAGAACAGAGACGCCTCCGAGGAGGGAGCCACTCACCGCTCAGGGGCCGGGCCGCGGCCAGGCGGCTGGGCTTCAGGATGAACTGGCACTGCACCTCGCGGGGCTGTTCCATGAAGAAGGGCTCCTGGGGGCTGGACGGCGAGGTCGAGTCCCTGGGCCCCGGGGCCAGGAGTGCCGTGTCGCGGAGATGGCTCATCTTGATTCCATAGGGATACTCGTGCCCTGCGAGGACAGAGCGCCCAGGCTGACCTCAGGCCACCAGGCGCTGGGGCGCACGTGGGCCCTGCGTGTGCACCTGCCGCTTCCGGACCAAGAACCCTATGGATGCCTCCATGGCAGCCACAGACCACTTTGACGGCAGGTGCCTCACCCACAGTAAGGGAGGAGAAACGCAGAGAGGAAACGTCCAACGAATATCTTGCGTGGGACACAGAAATGAGATGGAGGTGAACAGTGCTGACTACTTCTCCCTGCATCTGAGGATATTTAAAGATACTCCAGTGTCTCTTATGGAACAAACTGTACCTGTAAAGCTCAGCAAATCCTTGACCTCTCAGCTTCCACTATTTGCCGTATGTGTCACACTGTCTCATAAGGACCCTGTGAGTAGACCTTTGTGGTTAACGTTATTTAAATTAAAAGGGCACCAAGCTGCCCTTCAAGTATCACTGTTACTGAATACGGGCATCTGTCTGAAAGACAGTTCACGGCTTTTCAGAAGAGCCAGGAGCAGCCGGCCGGTTTGATCTCTGCTCTCTGTTAAATAAGGTAATGTCCACCAGTCGTTCCTCGAAAAGAAATGCTAGAGAGATAGCAAGCGCTGGAGGACTGTGAGTGGGCTCCTTTCACCTTGCGTAATGCTGAAGAGGTGCTGGGCCTGGGCGGGACGCTCACTGGGAGGCCGAGGGTCAGCGTGGGGATCCCGATGCCGCCCATAAAGGCAGCACAGCCAGTAGGCAAGGGGACAGGACACCAATACACGCTGCTTTCTTACAGGAACCGTTTAACGGTTGGACAAGATAGTTCTGTTTGCAAACTCAAAAAAGAAGGAAAAGTTACTATTCTCCTCCCTGCTATACCACTGAGAGATGACACTATTGATTAGCACACAGGAAATGCCTGGTGCTCGTAATACTCATTTAATATTTGAGCTTAGGAGCGTATGACCGGTGCTTAGGGACACTGAGAATTCTACATGATGTTTTGCAGACACTTACCAATAAGTGGGTATGGCGCCTCCTCTTTGCCAGAATTGACCCATAATTGGTAATCTCTCTCAGAGCCCTTGGAGATAAAAGAACCAACTTTCATGTTTGGTAGTTTTGAAAAAAAAAAAAAGGAAAAAGGGGGATAATATCAATGTGATTTAGGTTTGGGGGTGGTTTAGGTTTAAAGGTGGTACCCTAATCCCTCTAACCCACTTCCCCACTCTCTGAAAGAACTGAGGGGCCCTGGCCGTTTATCCTACTGGAGACCAGGGCTCCAGTACCCCGCTATTTTTTGCAAAGGAAAAACAGACGTCTCTTCATTAGAGTCCCAACTTTTGCTCCACTACATCTCTAGAATTCTCAGAATATGGGACTGAATCTCCTAGCCTCGTAACCCAAAGTCCCGCGCAGTCTGTTAGCCACTAGAAAGTGAAGTTGCAGGGGCTGACCACGAGGCTCAGCTCCTTCTTGATGGACAAAGGACAAGCAAGTGCCTTTGAGGACCTAGGCCACTGGCACTGTCGGCATTCTGTTTACTTGGGGCAAGTCCAGCTGTGTCTAGAGAACAGGCCCTTCATGCAAATCAATGGGGTGGTTCACGAGCAGGATTATAACCCATAACACTAAAAACTATTTTAGAGAACCTACAGTTAAGCCCAGAGTGCTGTATCTTGTAGGATAGAGCAAAAAAGTACTGTAAATAAAGCTAGAAGAGACTGGTAATACTTCATGCTTCTACCTCTGCATTTTTCATTAAAAATCATGGCACCAACCTTCTATTGGAGGGTACTGGCTATGGAGAATTCCACCCCCTCCCTTCAGGATCCTTTCCCTGAAAACTTTCAGTGCAATTGGGAAGAACAATTTAATAAATTCTTTTTTGTCATATCTGAAAACAATGTAATAAATAAAAATCTGTTCCCTTAGAACACTAATCGCCAGTCTCTTTTTCTAATTACCTCGAATAGAAATGTTCCAAATACTTTGAATTAATAGAAATATAACATCTGAGGCGATCCATCACTTTATGCAAAGGAAAAGTATAAGAAAATGAGTCATGTTCATTAATTAATTTCCCTTCCTTCACGTTGAACAACGTTTTCCCAAGCTATACCCACATAAGCTTAGAAATCCACCGAAGGGCCTGCTGTACCCCATGTATAAAAATTTGTTATATTTTATAAACCAGTTTTCTTAGTCTAATTAGTGGCCCTGGGTTCTTGGCTTATGGAACTACATGTGAGTGGATCTCAGTCCAGCTAGTAAGCGAAGGCTACAGCTTCACGCAGGCGCAGTCACACCCCAGGACCACAGTGTCACCTTTAAGACCCTCCCTCCAGAACGGTGCGTGGGTGACCCTCCGGTGCCCGTCTTTCTGAACATGACCCTCTGGTGAGTACAACTGTCCACTGTGGGGTGATCCTACCTCCCAGGGAAGAGAGGTGGAGGACGCTCAGTTCTTTTCCCTATCTCATCCTTAAAGCAACCCCATGTTTTCCATCAGTAAAATCTCAAAAACTCACCTTGCCCCATAAACCCAGAAGGAAGCAGAAGCTAAAAAGCACTAGGCAGAGCTGCAGGGTGCACCAGGCTCTTCAATCCAGCGCCTAACTGCGGGCTGGTTTGTAATGTTCCCTGTCACTAGTGGTACCTAGGTACCAGGATGAGCCACGCCTCATCCTGCACCTGCTGCCAGCGACGGCGGCTCCTGGCTGTGTGTCCTCTATGGCCCGAGTGTACGACAGCGCACACCTTCCAGTGCTTGTGGTACTAAGATGGGTCTCGGAGCAACACGCGGACTCAGGAGCGGGGAGAGGACATAGGAAGGAGCCGTCACGGAGTGAGAAGGGGCTACAGGACAGGGCTGCGGCATTCTTGTTCGGAGCCCTCTACTGGGCGACTGCTCAGCTATGGAAGCAAAGATGAACTCTTGGACCTTCTGACAACATGGGTGGGGACTATGCCAGGTAGAACAAGCCAGAAGGAGAAGACAAGGGGGGAGGGCTTAAGTCAGGTGTGTAACACAAAAGCAAAACAAAGGATCTAGAAAAAAACCCCTAGAAATCTCACTGTAGAACTGAGGCTACCGGAGGGTGGATGGAGGGGGCCCGATGGACCTTGGTGGAGTGCGGGCCTAACCACACAGGGCAGCATCGCACGGGGAGGTCAGCTCAATAAAAGATAGTACAATTCTTTAAAAAAGTGGTGCTGTGTTTTCACATTAAGTCATCTCCCCTAACTTTATATTATGTTCATTATTCCCCATAATTAACTCTAATTCACCAACAACACTTACATACATAGAAAGGGGTTTTTCTTCCTGACAAAATAGCCTATGTCAAAACCTACCTCCAAACTGTCCACCTATACGGCTTATCACTGTCAATTACAGTCTAACCTTTAGTCCACACTGGTTTTAAAGTGGGAGTAGAAAGATGGCACCTAGTATTAACTTAAGGTTGTACTGTCCTAATTTTGGGAGATAAACTATGACTTTGGTATCTCTAATCTACTGTCTCAAAGGCTGTTTTTTAATAGAGTATCAAGCACAGCAACTTACCGTTATCCCGAGCATGGGTAGTGACATGTTGATAACTTCATTCACGGTATCTGAATTTGTTACTGTTATAGTTTTAGACTGTCGGGGGAGAAAAAGAAACAGCTATAAGTAAGGACTTTAAAATAGGTGAACACATAATCGCAGTCAAATGATTCTCCAAAGGCAAATCTTCAAGTGTTTGGTAGAGCAAAGCACATGATCTTAGAACACAAACCCAACTGTCAACTACTTTCTTCCTGTTACAGATTATACCCTTTAGTAAAACATCTATTTTCCCTTAAAGAATATGTGCTCACACAGTCTAAGACATTAAGCAGGTGAAGAAGAGAATAGCTAGGTTTGAGTGAGCATGTGGCCTGCCCTCCGCGATGACAGAGGCGAGTGCTTTGGGGACAGTTCCCACATGGGGGCTTGTTTCTCTGCAGGGAAAAATGTCAGAACAAGGAAAAAAGTTAAACTTTAGAATTTGTCAAACCCACTATTTCTTGAGTGCTTTCTACAGGATGGGCTCTGTGGCGACGGAGGGTGGCTCAGCTGGAATAGTTAAGGGCCTGTGAGCCAGTGAGTCTGACAAGCAGGACAGACAGTTCCAGAAGGCATGGTTCTGGCACCAGCTGGGCCTCCGAACAGGGTCTCCACGATGTGCTGCACTAAACCACACTGCGAAATTACCATGTGGAAACAGTTCACAAGGACCAGGAAAGGATCAACAAGATCGAGATGCTCCCGGCTTCACTGATTCCAAGACCTTATCTAGCTACCAGGCTGCTGTGCTATAAAAAACCAAACACTCTGCATGCATTGGTCGTATGTACATGGTCTAATTACTGGGGTAATCAGTCCTGGTGGAGCTGAAATGACAAATAAGTGGCATCCATAGAAGCACACACAAAAATGCCATTCAAAATAAGGCTCATGAAATCCACTGCAGTTCATCATTTATCCTTCCATATATATTTTTCCATTTTTCCTGTGTGAGCCAATTACTTGACATGACAAATTGTCTCTTAAGGTCGTTAATTAATTTCAAGTTGGGCTCTTTGCCACTCCAAGAATTATGTAAAATTGCTTCAAAACCTAGCAGGGCGGGATCAGAGCGCCTCCGCCTGTGTCTGTCTTCTATCGGGGGGCAGAGATGTACTTGAGATGCAATTTCATGAAAGGCTTCTGGGTGTTTATTTTATTTTTTTATTTAAGCTCAAAACCCTTTATTTCATTTAAAGAAACTCATGAAGTCTTTTGCAAAGCGGACAGCCTATTTTGTAACAGGAACAATCACTCCCCATGCACCTCCTAAGATAATGATTTTTCTTAACACTAGGCACATACGTTCAAAACAGTAATTACAGGACGTGTGTTTTTCCCTGTATGCCTCTCTGGCAAACAAAACAAATGAATTTCAGCAGATACTGCTCTTTGGCTAGTAAACAATTCAACCGACAAAACAGAAAACGTGGCTATTTCCCACAGGCTGTCAGGCTTTGTACCCCCGAAAAGCCAAGAGTGAAGGGTGCTTCTCTTATATGGACCCCCGGCTGGGGAGCAGCACTTTTTTGGGAAGCAGGTGCCCCTCACAGGAGACTCTGGGGGGACTCAGGGAGCAGCTGCTCCAGCACAGGACAGCGTGTCTGGCCAGGAACAGCTGAGCACACGCTGGCCTCCCAAACCAGAGTGGGGCGTGGCTCCTTTCTCAAGCACACACTGGCCACACGCCGAAAATAAGGTGTTAAAAAAAAAATTCAGGGGATTTTCCATGAAAATCCTGAAAGGAACCAGCTGCCACCACAGAGCCAAAGCTGGCAGCGTGACGGTGGTGGGGTTTGGGTTCTCTCCGCCTTTGCTACCGGAGATCTCCGTTGTCTCATTCCGGAAAAATTTGAGTACTTCCCTCAAGCAGTGACATCTGCACCCCTGTCTGAACATCTGTGTAATTTCTGCTTTTGGCCCAAACACAACTGGTTTTATGACATATTTTGACAGGGGGCCACTCTGCGTGGTCTGGTCTGCCCGGCCCGGGGCAGCCTCGGAGGTCAGCAGGAGTGCCCAGCAGCACGGCACTCCCCTCCGCTCCCCTCCCAGACATCTCAGCCCCTGCACAGGGTCTCAGTCATCAAGTCCCAACCCAGCAACCAGGGCTGAAGGCTTCATTTCAACGAATTTCAAGAATTCAACGAATATGGTAAAACATGGGGGGAACCATACCCGGTCCCTTAAAATCATCTCTCCTAACTCATCCACTTAGTAACCTAAGAGATTCAATCCCTAAAGACTCGGAGGATGCTGAGCTTTCCAGACACCACGCTCCTCTTACCGACTGCCCACCGAGGGTTCTGCAGCTGGACCAGAGGGGCCCCGAGCCCAGGGAGCCCGGGACTTCCACCAAGCGAGACTGTCTGAGCATAAACGTTAAACACTGCGGGTAACGCAGACGTCTCAGGCGTCATCCTGGTCACTATTCACAGAGTCAGAGACAGACACACACACCCGGGAGAGCACGACTTCCCCACAAACGCGCCCAGCGAAGCCTCCCTTCCACGGACGCACACACTCTCTGTGTCCTTACGCAGGGGCTCCGGGTTTCACTTTCTGGCTCAGAAACACTTACATAGGCGCAATTCCCAATGTCCTTGGCGAAGATTTTGAGGGGAATGCTCTTCGGGTGGTCCTTCTCTTTCTCTAGGTGGATGTATCTGACGGGGGCAACAACCCAAACAACATTGAGTCAGACGGGTTCTGCTAACGGTTATTTTAATGGCTTACTATTTACTCTATTTGGCAAATAGCTTCAATAAACTCGCAGGCTAGTTAAGAACATTGAAAACAACGACAACAGGCTGTGGTGGTGGCACATGGGTGGCTGGTGGTGGGAAGCCCATGGGGATAACTGTGATGGAAAAGGGCACAAGATGACGAACGATGCAAATAAAAAAAAGTATAATAGTAACAACAACAGCAGATGGACAGACTCAGCCGGCCGGGCTGCAGTATGGGTTGGAGGAGAACTAAAAGTCCTTGGGACACAGACCCGGGCACGGAACAATGGCGCCTTTCTCGGTGGGGCTGAGAGCACAGACTCAGAGGAGGTGCCCATGCCGCTGCCCTGGAAGCTTCCCTGCATCCTCCGAGAGGAGAGGCCTAGCCCTCACTGGTGAGAGCAGGAGGCCAGGCCATCCTCTGCTGGACCCACCGGCCTTCTGCGTCCCAAGTGCAAACTTTGGTCCTCCCTTTGGGTGGGGAGGGCGGGCGGGGAGGAAGGAAGAAGGGACTTTAGGTCTGGGACAGGGAGCCAATGACCCAATTTTAGTTTGCACGCCCCGTGGTCAGGAGCAGGAAGCCTCCACATAAGGAAACTCGGCCCATGCTTCGAGGAAACTCAGCTCCAAGTGCAAGGTCGGAGACCCTGAAGGAGATGAGACGGGACAGGCTATTCACCAATTTCTCAGTAGACCTCAGTTCCTCCTTCCTGAACGTAAGGAATGCACACAGTGAGCGCACTTTATATACCAGGGCACAGTACGGTCTAAACAAGCAGCTTGTTTTGAGGACAAAGGAACAATTTCTACTAAGGAAGAGGGGCAGAGGTTAAAAACACGTGAGCATCATTAAAAAGGATGAAGAAAATACCTCTGAAGGAGAGACAGCCACTTGTCCTTTTGCTCTGGAGAACTGTAATCAAAGGAAGTGGGAGAGAAAAATTAACTGCACAGAAAACTAGTACTGGAGACCGTAGATGCTGGGCTGGCTGGAGTGGCCGGTGTGTCCTAGGGCGTTTGCAGGCAGGTCCCCTTGGGAAAAGTGTCTTTATTAGAACCTCTTGGCGAGACTGACAACATTTCCTGCTTTTCACAGGATTATGCTGGGGAGGGAGCTCAGAGCAGAATGAGCGCTGGGTGCTCAGTAAAGGTGCCAGCTCCGCCTGTCAGCCCTCAGGTGCTAAGCCTCAGGCCCCGGTCTGCTGGGCGGCCAGGTGGGCCAGAGTTCACCAGAGGTTGAGGGACGAAACAGAAATTGGGCACCAAGTTGGAAATATCTTGGTCCAGAAATCAGTTCACTGGGCAAACATTTCTTACATAGGAAAGAAACATTTTTTACATAGAAAGACTTTTCCCTGAGGTCCCTATTACATTTAATTCTTCAAGATCATACAGATTCAAGGTGCATTTTCACATGATCTTGATCTCACTAGTTTTAAAAAGATCTTTCTTTTAGTCATAAAGACATTGGGAACCTTGTTTTCTTATTCCAGAAAAACTGACTTCACAAGTCTTTGTAATTTTTTCCCCTTAGTACTGTTGCTTAGCAATTTTTTTCCTTAAGTAATCTCCAGGACTGGCCATTAGAAAATTATCATATAATTTTCATTTTTCACAATGTCTTATCATTTCCTGATAAATTTATCCTCTCAAACAGAACATTTCCTAGGTTCATCTATGTCAAGTTTTGGATTTACTTAGCAAAAATCTAGGCTAAAAATAGGTGAGTTTTCTTCAGAAGATTCTTTTAAAGCTGTTAAATAAAAATGCCCTTATAAAAGACACGTATATTTTTTAGACACTGGGTTAACAAGGCTCAGTACCGAGCTCCTTAGATGCAGGTCACCACACCCACCCCGAGGCCCCCTCAGCCTGTACCACAGTTCACTGTGGGCCTCCACTCTGCTCCCTTCCCTGCCCCAACTTACAGCCTCAACTTCAGTCAGTTAGTTACTGGTTTGGTCTGTCTGACCTTTTGTTTGGCTTCTCCATATTTCATAAATAAGAAAACGCTCATTTTTTAAGCCATAATGTATCATTGACATATAAGATACATAGAGAAAACTCCACGGTGGGTAAGTGTAAGGGGTGAAGAATTTTCATAACTGAGCCTGCCCATGACTAGCACCCGGACTTGGAGTTGGAAAGCCGCCCCGTGAGCTCCTTCCCAGGCCCCTCGGTGGCAAGTCCCAGCTCCCACCATCACCACTTCCAGTGTGCTAGTTCTGCTGGCTCCACTACTCCATATAAAGGGAACCAGGCAGGTGCTCTTTGATGTCTGGCTACTGTCATTCAAAATGTGGCAGAGACGGCAGGAGCGCAGGTGGCCTGAGGTCCATTCTTGCCACTGTGCAGAGGTCACTGACTATCCGGCACACATGAAAGACCAGTCACGAAATGTGCCAGGTTAATGCCACGGGATAAAATTATAAAATGTGGGCTTGTGTTTCCCCCTTTTCTCCTGTTCTATGCAAGGATCCTGGATCTCTCTTTCCTGAGTCACTTTCATCTCGGGCATTTTTAAAGTACTAAAACCAGATAACTAAAGTCAAAGTTATTCCAGAAAAGTAACACACATGTAAGAGTCAGGAGAGGGGGAAGCAGTATGAGAGAGGAAAAGGGTGCCTTGGACTGAAAGGGCCTCTCATTTCTGGGAGAAGACAGTCTGTCATCCTTGAGCGTGAGGGAGGAATCACATAGCATTTTTGAAGGTGCCTCAGCAATACACTCCAGAAATGGCTGCAAGGAAGGGCCAGGGCTGGTCTTTCCTGGGCACCAAGGACGTCCTGGTAGCAAAGACCTATGTTCTACAAGGGCAGGGCACCTCTTCGCATTAAGGGATAACTCTGGGGGTAGAAAAAACATGATGTCAGCGTGTCTGCAACAGGCTGAAGGTCGGAGACTTTTCATCTGTTCTGAGGGTGTCAGAGAAGCTCCTGTCTTCTGGTTCCTAGAAAAGACCATCCTAAGAAAAGAAGTGTCCCAGTGGACACGGCCACCTGATTTTCTACTAGGCTGGCAAAATGAGGTGGGCATTCACTTGACAGTCTTTTCTCGAATAGCTGAAGACTATTTCATACGAGGCGCTTCGGTTAATACTGTTCTCCTTTACTCTTCTAATGTATTGTCATTAGGGCTACACACTTGCTGTCTTGTGAACAGTGTTCCCATTTCACTCTGCTGTTATCTTCGAAACAGAGGCTGCGGTGGACCTAAGGTGTGTGAACAGGAGTACAGGTAGTGATGGAGACACGAGATTCCTTTTGGGCTTTCTTGAGATGTGATGAACTTTTACCTCTTCCGAGACCAAGCATGGGAAGGTCACATTCATGGTTTGCTCCTTCCCAGTCTGACACATCGGGGAGGGGATTCCTCAGAGAGCTGACCATGGTTTTTCAGTCTTAGAACTGGACTCTATTAGACTCTACTTTCTGGTTTCTTTATTGATGTTTGGAGAGACAACTTTTTCACCTGTGGTCCCAGCGACATTTTAAACTGGTTTCTTAATATTTACTGATACACAACACACACACACACTCACACCCCATTTCAAGTTTCCCTCTGATATGATTTCACTTCAGGCTGAAAAACGTCCATCAGCGTTTTTTTTCTTGTAGTACAGGTCTGTCAGCAATAAAGTCTTGCATGTTAGGGGAAATGTCATCTTTATTTCACCTTCATTGTTAAACTGTATCTCTGCAGAGTGTAGAATTCTAGGTGGAAAGACAACACCCAGCTGTCTTCTGATCCCTGTTTCTGCTAGCGACGTCATAGGAGGGAACCCATGATCTGCATGTGACGTGCTGAGTCTGTGTCTTGTGTTTTTCTCACCATTAGTTCACAGCTGTCTGTGACACAAGGTGTAGTTTTCCGCAGACCACTGAGCTCATCAAATATGCTTATTCATGTCTTTCAACAAATCTGATAGGCTTTTTTTTTTTTTTTTTTTTTTTTTAAAGATTTATTTATTTGTGCATACAGAGCTGGGGTACAGGCCAGAGGCTCAGGGGCGGTGAGAGGCTTCACCAGAGACAGAGTGGGGAACAGAACAGGCAGATAGACGAAGTACACTGCTGAGGGGAGCAGCGGGCGGGTCAGGAGAGGTCTGCCACACCATGTGGTCACCTCCGGGGCAGGCGGGAATCGAACTCATGCGGAAGCGGCTTTAGATTCTCAATGCTGTGCTTTAACCCGCTGCGCCACCAGGGAGGGCCCAAATCTGATAGGCTTTTAACCATGGTGTTTCCAAATATTTAACTTGGTCCATTCCCTCTCTCCTGTCTTTCTGGAATTGCATGGACGTATGCTATACCCTTTTGGTATTTTCCAACAAGTCACTGATGCGTTTTTCATCATGCAATCTCTATTTTCTCTCTTCTTTGGAGTGGGCCATTTGCATTGATTTATCATCAAGTCCACTGACTCTTTCCTCTTTAACTTCCGTTTTGCAACAAAGGGACACACAGGAGACTTTGAATGTCCACTTCCAGGATATTCATTGGCCCTGTTTCCTATTCTGTCTTCATGGTGAGCTTTCTTATCTTTCCATTCATTTCAACTCGCTTTTCTTTTTAGTGACTTAGCATGGTATTAAGAACTGCTGGAAAGTCCTCTGGTAATACCAATATGTGGATCAACTTCCGTTGGCCATCTTTGCTATGTTTATTTTTCTTTTGACCTTGACAGTCTCAAGGATGCCTCTGAGACCTCACAGGCTGCCTCTCAGCTTGAACATCTGATGCTTATCCCATGATTTAACTGGGACTTATTAAGGATTTGGGGAGTAAGACCACACAGGTGAGTTGCTCATTCCATCACCTTACTTTAAGGTGAGTGACATACATATGACATAAAGTAAGACATCACATTGATGTTAGCTTGATTGTATGGCTAAAACAGTATACTTTTTGAGCAAAACCACATTCAACATATTCCATATTTTCCCTTCTTGAAAAAAGTTCCTCGAAAAATCCTTGATTAAAGATGCCATTAGTCTCACCCTTTCCTGGAAATCATTTCCTTCTACCAGTACCTTCAAGGAGGTTAAGCAGTAAGAATTGATAACATTACAGAAACCTGCCCTGGAAAAGACGATACTGAAAGTGTGAGGCAAACTCATGTTTCTCTCAAGTTAGTTCTTAAAAATCTTGCAATAGGCCAACAGTGCACGGTAGAATACAATGATGCACTCTCCTTTATTGTAAGATTAGCAATTTGGAATGTTGTAGTTATCTGGCTTTAGGATGATGCCTGAGGAGTTTAGTGCAGTGTGGAGAAAACGGCAGGAAAAAAAGCCCCGCTTGCCGACGAGGAACCACAGCTCTTGGTTGTGAAGCATACTGGACATGGGGTACACCTGTCACAAATCATGGTGTGAGCTTTGGTGTGTTCACCAAAAAATGCCAGTTTGGTATGTTTAGGGTAAGAGCACAAACATTTTGTACTTGTGCATTTTCCAGCTTCATTCCCGCTTAGGAGTGAGTCTTAGGGATCCTTCTGTGACTCCTTGAATTGTCCTTCGGTTTTGATGGTCAGACCACTAAAGCCAGCAACTTGGAGCCTGTTGTACAGACCAGGACACCCATACTTCATATGCTGGTTTTAGTTCTATAATTAAAAATGATTTCTCTAGAGAACATGGGTATATAAACAAGTTATTTAAACTTCACTGGACTATCTGATACAATCTGACTCCGTGATGGTCTAGTCCATGGTTTGAAGAGACCAGCTCAGTGTGTAAAACAGTACCTGAAGCTGTTAGGGCGGGGGACCTTGGAGGGGAGTCCTAGAGCCCTGTCCAGTTTACTGCTCTCTCAAGGCCGAGTCTACTTAAAGGCATCAATCAAACCCTGACAAATAGCCCAGGAGTTGTCCATATTTAGCAACTTACTGGTACCAGTAATGGCACCATCACTGTTCACAGAGTCCAATCAAGAGGGGGCAGCTAAGGGTCTTTCCTGGGGGTGTGTCACATGGAAAGTTACTGAATTAAAGCACAATTAGAATGAACTAGTTCTCTGTGAAAAAATTAGAACAAAATTTGATTCACGGTTCTGCTCTTCATCCTGGACGTAACAAAGTGAGGGGATGTCACATCAGCTGACCAAAGGACCGTCGGGTGGTTCTTACCTGAATGTGGCCACAAAGTTGACCGTGGGCCAGCCCAGCACGAAGGACTTCAGGGTGTTGGTGTTGCCTTCTCCCACTTCATCCACACAGCTGGCTGTCCACATGTCACTCAACTTAATTTTATTTTTTATCTTAAAGTTGTTGTTATATCTAGGAAGATAAAAATCAAACAGGACTTCCCATTACTTCTTTTCCTTAAATAGTAAGGGATCATCTACATTTGTGGCGAGAGGAAAGTTTTCAGTAATTCTAGACAAAGATCATCTGACTCACAATTTTTGTCTTGCTACTGTGGGCTGCGAAGGTCTTTGAAACATCTGGGGTGCCAGTCCATGCATATATGGCAGCAAACGGCCATATATAGACTGTTTTTTGATATTTGAATATCACATTTAAATAAAAACTTTACTTTTAAAGGTAGAGCTGTTATCAGAAATCGATTCCTTCATTATTTGTGATTTGTTTACTTCCCAAAAGACTTGAGCGTTTGAACAAAAGATTTAATGAAAATATTAAAAAATACTCATCTTGGTAGGGACAGATACAATAAAAAACATTCCCTGGCAATAAAGGAATTTATAATGCGTTTCCAACACAGTGATTGTAAGATTTTCTAGTCTTTGGAAGTAAAAGTTATTTTAAATTTCTTAAAATTTGGTTTAGGCTGTCTTCCCCATCTTCCAGCTAAATCAAACCGTAGCTGAAAAACAGATCCTAAACTAAGGGGAAAAGAAGAAGTTACGAAGAATTAAGGGTCACGAATTAATAATATTCACCTCTGGGCACTCAAGAGGGTTACCTGCTAGCATTGCTTTTTGGTAATTCTAGGAATCCCCACAATGCTGATATTGAAGTGATCCATTTCTCTGCTCTTGCTCATTCTGCTTCAGTTACACAGGACTTCTCTTAACTGCTCCAGAGGGCCAAGCTTTCCCCCTTGTACCTGTGCTTCTCTGTGCCTACAATACACACCCATGCTCACACCTGAAAGGCTGCCTACTTCCCATCCCCCCAAGACACCCCCACTGTGCTCATCTAATGTGGGTCCCCCTTTCTGCTCCCCGGCCCTATGTTTCTTATAAGCAGAATCACAGTCTGTGCTTTTCCCACACATTAGAATATAAGTTCTAAGAAAGAGGGGACTGCGGGTGTCCCGTTCTTCACTGTACCCCCACATTCATTCCAGGCACAGTGCAGAGCAGGCAGAAATGAACACTTGTGGAATGTTCAAACTAAGGAAACACTTTTTAAAAATACCAACACAAACATAAGATCACTTCTGATACTAGATACAGAAATAGCTAAGCACCAGTGGAAATGCAACACTGTAATAACCAGGAGTGTGCGATGCACTTACTTGATTTTGGCCACAACGAACAGATCGTTGAACAGAAAGAGATGCCGCTCCTGCCTCTGCAGGCCCCTTCGGAGCTCTACCCGGCCATCGATGAGCAGGGTCCTACTGGTGCCAGCGAACGCGGACAGAAACGCACACGTGTCCACACCAGCGGACGGACTTTCCCTGTAGGAACAGACAGCGCAAGGCTTCAGCAAAGTGACCAAAGACAAGATCGAGTTTCTGTAAAATTATAGCTTATTGTTGGTCGAGAAATAGAAACTGTTGTCATTTTTCAAATGAAGTTTTCATTTCCTGTCTCTCTCTGGAACATTTCACTAGGAAAAATCTCACACATAAACACAGATGACCGTCCTGTGTCCTCCTCGAGTCTACCATTCACACGTCGCCGCCTTCGCTTTGCAGTACACCTGTCCTGCCCCCATCCTCTCTTGTCCTTGATCCGGCTTAGTTCTGGCATGTGAAGTGCACACCAGTCTGTTTCCTCTTCCGTACTTCAGTGTGTGTATCATTCGCGGGAGTCCAATACTTATGTTTAGTTTCTAAATACGCAGGCACAATGCCTTGCACAAATCTTAGGTAGCACTCACTGAGTCCTGACAAAAGCGTTCACCACCGACATCTAGAACATTATCATCACTCCAAAACGTTTCCTCTTGCCCCTTTCTCAGTTGTATAAATAGTGGATGATGCATCGTGCATTTGTTACAGGGTAACCCAGTGTGAACTGAGCTGCCTGTCTGTGGGTCCTCACCTGCCAGCTTAAAATTAGTTGGACTGCAGATACACACAAAGGGTCAATAATGGGTTTATTTACAAAGAGCAGAAAGGAAAAGGAACAATCCAGGAAAGAGAGAGAGATACAAGGTAACTAGAATGTCTTACCAGCTAGGCTGACTTGGAGCTCTAGTAACAAACTAACTGAAAGCCCCCAGTCACAGGGTCTGAGAGAGCTGTTGCTCCAGAGAGAAAGCTGTTGCCTCGCCCCTCCAAGAGTCTGAAAATCGCTCCCTAGTTATCCCCCTAAGTCCCAGAATGCCTATTTAGCTCCACGGGTGGGTCTTCTCTCCTTGGTGCTGCTGGGAGTTGTAGTTTCCAATCACTGGTGAAGGGGGTGGAGTCCACAAAGTTCTGCAGCGTTTCCTTAGGACATCCTTCCCCTTAACACACTGGCTCCTGGATCATTAACTGTTTCATTGTAAGGCATGACCCACTAGTTCTGAAGATGTCAAACTCCAATTTCTACATGCCTGAGTAGTTTAGAAAGAGTTCAGACACGGAGTTTTAGCCATGTAGAGCCTGCTTGCTTAGCATACACCACAAAGCTGCACCTGGCCCAGACTGGCCATTGATAAGTTAGTCTTGTCATCGTGAGACTCTGCGTCACTGCTGCCCACTGGAAGGCTCGGACCCAGGGAGTCCCTGTTGTGCTACTGGGCAAGGGCATCTACCTTGCTCCAGGTGCTAGTGAGGCCAGAGAGGCCCACTGCGAGGCCCCTCTCAGGAGCTCCCTGGCCTGCTTCCCTGTGGGGTGGGGACCCCATGGCCATTTGCCCTTGAGGCAGCCTTGTGCTGTGGGGGTGCCCCTTCTCATGTAACCCTGCCCAGGGACATCATCTTTTTCCTTAACCAGCTCCCAAATCCCTGAAACAAAACAAATCCTTACCCCAGCATTCCAAGGCAACAGCTAAGTGCCCCACCCCCACTGAAGATTATTTGGCCTGTTCTAGAATGGAACATAGCCCTGTGGGCGACCCCTGGCACGCCACATGCTGTGCCTACTGGAAAGCTGTCCCTTCACTGAGTAATGTGCCCATACAGCAGCATATCTCTAATGGTTTATCATTATAATCAAAAGGCAGTTATTTAAAAAATTAAACGATAGGGCCCTCCCTGGTGGCGCAGCGGGTTAAAGCACTGCACTAAGAAGCTAAAGCCACTTCCGCATGAGTTCGATCCCTGCCTGCCCCAGGGGTGACTGCATGGCGCGGCAGACCTCTCCTGACCCGCCCGCTGCTCCCCTCAGCAGTGTACTTCCTCGATCTGTCTGTTCTGCTCCCCGCTCTGTCTCTGGTGAAGACTCTCACCCTCCGCATCTCTGGCCTGTACCCCAGTTCTGTATAAATAAATAATCTTTAAAAAAAAAATTAAACGATAAGCCATTACATAGCAAGATGGTTTCAACTATGGAACCTCAAACTAGTACTCCAGGTCTGGCAGTGAGAGGGCTGGTGGACCATACTGTCTCTGTTGCCAGGCTCTCTGCCCCTGTATCACAAAGTCAGCCGCAGATAAGACATAAATGAATAGATGTGGCTCTGACCCAACAGAACTCTCAGCCACTCTGCCTGAACCACACTTTGCTAATCTGTGATTTCAATGCCTTAACATGTTGAAATGCCATAAATAAGGGCTAGTCTGAAATAATGAATGAATAATTAGGGAATTAGTATTTTTTCTTTCTGGAGTTAGCAAGGCCAAAGGTTAATTTGGTTAAAAAGCTGGTTTGCATTTTAAAACAATTCCAGAGTGGCGTTGATGGCAGCATGGGGTAGATGCTGCAATGAAGTGAACGGTTCTTTTTCAGTGTGCACTTATCAATGGTCCTGTCTGCAGCTTGTTGTTTCAAAGGTCTACACGTAAGTGTGGCAAGCTTTAGAAAACTAAACTTTGTTTTTTAAAAATAACCAACATTCAGCCCTCCCTGGTGGCGCAGCGGGTTAAAGCACAGCACTAAGAAGCTAAAGCCACTTCCGCATGAGTTCGATCCCCGCCTGCCCTGGAGGTGACCACATGGCGTGGCAGACCTCTCCTGACCTGCCCGCTGCTCCCCTCAGCAGTGTGCTTCGTAGATCTGCTTGTTCTGCTCCCCACTCTGTCTCAGGTGAATACTCTCACTGCCCCTGTACCCCAGTTCTGTATGCACAAATAAATAAATCTCAAAAAAAAAAAAAAAAGTTCATCCAGTACTCCAGAGTAGAAACAAACATTTCAGCACTCACATAATTTAAAAAGAAAAAAGAAATCTTTTTAGCAGGAAACAAAAACACAAAAAAGCTTTGTGTTGCTAAAACTACAATCTTAATCAGTGTTTCCTACTTAAAAATGTATTTCTCAATTATGTGACTCTGAAGTGTTTATTTTTATTCCGAGTGCAAAGCAGATGTGTTTATTTTAGTCTTTTACAGTATGGAAATGGGGAAGAGGGTAAGATTATAACCTTCTATTTAGCCTCTTACTATTGCCTGATTAGGATTTACAAGTCATAATTAGCAGAGCTCTAAAATGACATAACAAATACAAGCAGAGTTTAAGAATTAACCTGCTGCCTTTTTCTTATATATTAACATTTCATTCTGAAGTAGGGTTATGAGTCCACTATGAAAACCCAAAAGGATCTTAATATTTTTTTTTACTAACTCTGGATATTACCTTTAACAAAACTTGGCCACAGTAACATCTCTTAATATTTTTATTACTAAGTTTCATTCAAAAAGTGAGTCTATTTTTAAATACAGTTTTAGAGGTGGTGTTCATCTTCAATCACAAAGAACATGAACTCTTAAAACTCAAGAGCTTTTAGAAGCGTCTGTGTTTATAAGTGGTCGTCCATTAGAGGTGATGAAAACAAGTAGGATCCTGATAACCTCAAAGCCTAGGACATGATTAGGAAATACTGGTAACAGTGACAGTTGCTGCTTCTGCTGGGTGCCTGCCTTGTGTGGGGCACTGGAGACATATGTGGCCCTTGGCCCCAAGGATGGGGGAGTCCGATCTGAGGGGAGACTCAGAGTAAAAGCAATGATAAACCCACAAGCTAAGTGCAAATAAAAGAAGAGCAAAAGCAGGAGCCCCCATCTGAGCCTGGGCGGACTAGGGAGGTTTCTTGGAGGAACCGGTCTGTAGGGCTAGAGGGGCCAGTGAGGGCTGAAGTGCAGTTTCAGCCCAGAGAGTGGCATACCAAAACACATGGTGAGTCTTGATCATGGGCAGAGCCCAGGGGGGCTCGGGTAGCAGTGCTAACACCAGCCTCCCGCAAAGAGCCAGTGTTTTCACAGGGAACATGCAACATTCCTTCTTCATGACCTTGACACAGAAGTCACACTACTGTCCCTGTTAGGGACACAGTGAGTACCAGTCCTGGACAAGACATTCCCAGGAGAAAGGAGAGGCCAAGATCAATGAGTGCTGTCTCTGAGAATGTAAGATCACTTAAGATGAGAATCCCACAGGAACGCAAACCCACTTAATGAAGAGAAAAACCTACGTCTCAGAACTTCATATACACTAGCGAAAATGACAGCTTTTCCAGAAAAATAGCTCTACTGCATTGTTATCAGAGAATGAGTAGGAACAGATAGTTCCAGCTAAAGATCAGCGAAAACTCCAAACCATTCAGTCACTTGTATGGACAGTTGATTTAAAAATACTGTATGTCATCTAATTTGGGTTGTTTCTAAAGGTATTGTTTACCGATGGTAAACAGTGCTGCAATAAACAGAGAGGTGCATGTATCCTTTTGAGTTAATGTTTTTGTGTCCTTTGGGTAGATCCCTAGGAGTGGAATTGCTGGGCTATGTGGTAGCCCATATAGGAGTAGTAATAGTCTGAGGAATCTCCATACGGCTTTCTATAGTGGCTGGATGAGACTTTAACCCCTTTGCCAGTCTGCATTCCCACCAGCAATGTAGGAGAGTTCCTTTTTCACCACATCCTCACCAAGATGATGTGAGATACACACACACACACACACACACAGACAATGGAATACTACTCAGCAGTCAAACAAGATAAACTCATGCCATTCATAGCAATGTGCATGGAGCTAGAAAGGATTATGCTCAGTGGAATAAGTCAGAAGGAAAGAGAAAAATATCGAATGGTTTCACTTATAAGAGGAATATAAGAGAACTAAATAACACATAAGGAAAACACATATGGAAAAAGAAAAGTGTACTGTTATTACAATACAATACAAAACAAAAAAATCCCAGACAATTATAAACCAGAGATATCCTACAGGGGAGGGGAATGGAAAGGGATTGGAAGGAGGGAGGAGTGTGGGGGGCTGTGGTGATGACAGGTGAGTGAAGTGGGGGATGGGGGAATTAAACATTGTTTCAAAATGTAAATAAATATCTATATATATCTATATATATTTATCT